CAGTGGTGCGGGGCATGTTGAGACAGCACTTCTAAAGCGAAGTAGAAGTTGTTGCATCTGGCCCTTCTTACAAATAAATAGGAGGCACAACACCTGGTGGGCTGCTTTGAATTTTGGAAGCAATACAGTCCTCATTTGGGTGGGTTACTCCAGGCTATTTATCAAGTGACTCAAAAAGCTGCTAGTTTTGAGTGGGGCCCAGAACAAGAGAAGGCTCTGCAACACGTTCAGCTGCTGTGAAAGCTGCTCTGCCACTTGGACCCTATGATCCAGCTGATCCAATGGTGCTTGAAGTGTCCATGGCAGATAGAAATGCTATTTGGGGTCCTTGGCAGGCCCCTACTGGTGAATCACAAGCAGACCCTTAGAATCTTGGAACTAAGCCCTGCTATCCTCTGCAGATAATTACTCTCCTTTTGAGAAACAGCTTTTGGCTTGTTCCTGGGCCTCAGTAGAGACTGAATGCTTAACTGTGGGCCACCAAGTCACTATGCGGCCTGAGCTGCCCATCATGAACTGGGTATAGTCTGCCCACAAAGTCACAAAGCTGGACGTGCACAGCAGCACTCCATCATTAAATAGAAGCAGTACACATGAGGTTACGCCCTAGCAAGACTTGAAGGCATAAATAAATTACATGCGGAAGTGGTCCAAATGCCCATGGTCCCCACTCCTGTCACGTTACCTTCCATCTCCCAGTCTGCACCTGTGGCCTCATGGGGAGTTTCTTACAATCAGTTGACTAAGGAAGAGAAAACTCGTGCCTCGTTTTACAGACGGTTCTGGGCAATAAGCAGGCAGCACTTGAAAGTGGACAGCAGCAGCAGGGCAGCCACTTTCTGGGACCTCCCTGAAGGACAGTGAGCTTCAAGCAGTGCACCCAGTTTTTTCTTTTGCTTGGAAGGAGAAATGGCCAGATGTGAGCTTCTATGCTGACTCATGTGCTGTGGCCAATTGTTTGGTTGGATGGTCAGGGACTTGGAAGGAACATTAGTGGAAAATTGGTGACAAGGAAGTAAGTGCTTAGACCCCTCTGAATGAGCCAAAGAATTGAAGATATTTATGTTTCATGTGAGTGCTCACCCAAGGGTGACCTTAGCACAAAAAGATTTTAACAATCAAGTGGACAGGATGACACATTCTGTGGATAGTAGCCAGCCTATTTCCTTAGCCTCTTCTGTCATTGCTCAGTGGGCTCAGGAACAAAGTGGCCATGGTGGAGGGAATCGAGGTTATGCATGGGTTCAGCAACACAGACTTCTATTCACCAAGGCCAACTTGGCTACTGCCACTGCTGAGTGTCCAGTCTGCCAGCAGAAGAGACCAACACTGAGTCCCCAATATGGCACCATTCCTGGGGGCAATCAGCCAGCAATTGGTGGGAGGTTGATTACACTGGATAGCTTCCATCACAGAAAGGGCAGCGTTTTGTTCTTACTGGAATAGACACTCTGGATATGGATTTGCCTTCCCTGCATGCAGTGCTTCTGCCAAAACTACCACCCATGGACTTATAGAATGCCTTATCCACCATCATGGTATCCTACACAGCATTGCTTTGGATCAAGGAACTCACTTCACAGCAAATGAAGTGCGGCAGTGGGCCCATGCTCATGGAATTCACTGGTCTTACCATGTTCCCCATTATCCTGAAGCAGCTGGCTTGATAGAATGATTGGAATGGCCTTCTAAAGATACAATTACGGCACCAGCTAGATGGCAATACCTTACAGGGTTGGGGCAATGTTCTCCAGGAGGCTGCACATGCTCTAAATCAGCATCCAATATATGGTGCTGTTTCTCCCACAGCCAGGATTCACAGGTCCAGGAATCAAGGAGTGGAAATGGGAGTGGCACTCACTATTACCCCTAGTAACCCACTCACAAAATTTTTGCTTCCTGTCCCCGTGACCTGATGCTCTGTGGGTCTAGAGGTCTTAGTTCCAAAGAGAGGAATGCTCCTACCAGGAGACAACACTGATTCCATTGAACTGGAAGCTAAGAATGCTACCCGGCCACTTTTGGCTCCTGATGCCTCTGAATCAACAAAGAAGGGAGTTACCATACTGGCTGGTGTGACTGATCCTGATCACCAAGGGGAAACTGAATTCATATTATATAATGTTGGTAATGAAGAGTACGTCTGGAGTATAGGAGATCCCTTAGGGCGTCTCTTCTTGTGACGACGCCATGCGATGAAAGTGAGTGGAAAACCACAGTAACCCAATTTTAATATGAGTACTAATGGCCCAGACCCTTCAGGAATGAAAGTCTGAGTGAACCCACTAGGCAAACAACCACAACCAGCTGAGGTGCTTGCTGACGGCAAAGGGAATACAACACGCGTGGTAGAAAAAGGTAATTCTAAATACTAGCTACAAGCACGTGACCAGTTGCAGAAACGAGGACTGTAATTGTTTGGAGTATTTCTTCCTCGTTATGTTATATGTGTGTGTGTATATATATATGTACATACACATACATACATATATATATATATAGAGAGAGAGAGAGCGCAAATATCTTTGTTTTCTTCCCCCTCTTATCTCATGACTTATTACAAAATACAAGATGTATATAAGGGTAGTGCATTTTTGGCTGTACATGGTAGTTGTATTATGTTAGGCTCAAGTATGACTTTATAATTGTTTTTATTTAGAGATTATATATAGATTCTATATAGATGTGCATAGGTGCCAAGTTGACAAGCATGGACTATGATGGTTAATGTTCCGTGTCAACTTGGCTAGACTATGATTCTCAGTGGTTTGGCAGATACTATGTAATGACCTTCCATTTTGTGATCTGAATGTGAGCAGCCAGTCAGCTGACAAGGGAGTGTGTGGACTGCCTCCAGCATATAAATGCCTCCAGCATATAAATGGATGTCATGGCAAAGCTTGCTCTTTTTGTCAACCCTGCCCTCTTCTCATTGTCTGGCTTCTGGTTCTTGGGATACAAGCCTGCAAAAAAGTCTCTGGACTGCCACCTGACCTGCAGATTTTGGATTCACCAACCTTGGCAACCCTATGAGCCAGAACAAGCCTCCAGCCTGCCTCCTGACCTGCAGATTTGGGGTTTGGCAGTACCTGTAACTACATGAGCCAGCAGAAGTCTTCAGCCTACTTCCTGATCCATGGATTTGGGACTTGCCAGTCCCCACAATTGTGTAAGCCATTTCCTTGAAGTAAATTTCTCTATCTATCTATATACGCTTCACTGGTTTTGCTTCTCTACAGAACCCAGACTAAGGCATCTCCTTTTTTTTTCAGGGGGGTGGGCACAGAATACATTATTAAATAATGTTGACCATTTAAAATTTAAACTTCTTTAATCGAGTACTCTACATTTAGGGTTTCCTGAGAAATAGTTTTCCAAGCTAATAATTTAAACAAATTTAAAAAATCTTAATAAAATCAATACATTTATATTTAATTATATATGACATCCAGCCATGTCATTTAAACAAAAAAAGGGAAGTCCAACACTATTTGTATATAATTGATATCAGTCTTTGTAGATACTGAACGACACTAAGAAGACTGCTAAGGACTACAATGACTGATTTTGGTGGGTTTGTTTTTTTGAAAACCATATTAAATTCACATTTTTAAAGTTCTATTACTTTTAAATTTTATAGTAAAAGTAAACAAATTCTAGTTACACAAATACTGACTACTATGTTACATTTTAGAGACTTATGTTCAAAAGTAATAGGCCCCCAAAGAGAGGGGGGGTTTATGAAGAATAGCTGTACACCAGGTAATTCTAGGGGAGTATAAAGAAATCTTGATAAAGAAATCATGGCTGTACACCACTGTGCACTGCAGCACTATTCACAATAGTCAAAAGATGGAAACAAACAAAATGTCCATCAACAGATGAACGAATAGACAAAACGTGGTCCATCCATACAATGGAATATCACTCAGCCATAAAGAGCAATGAAGTCCGGATGCATGCGACAACATGGATGAACCTTGAAAACATCCTGCTGAGGGAAATAAGTCAGGTGCAAAAGAACAAATACTGTATGATCTCATTTACATGAAATAAGCACAAATACAGACACCAAAGATTATTAGTGATTACCAAGGATCAGAGAAGAGGACAAAAGGGAAAATTTCTGCTTAGAGGACACTGAGTTTATGTTAATGGTGGTGGAATAATTTGGAAATGGATAGCAATAATGGTTACAACAACATGAAGAATGTAATCCACATCACTGAATTATACATATAGAAATTGTTGAATTGGCGCATGTTTTGTTGAACATATTTTCGGTATAATGAAAAAATAAAAGACCTAAAAAAAGGACAAAAAAAAAAAAATGGAAATGATGAGAAGGAATTCAAGTGAAGAGACACATAAACAAGGATGATCACTCACAAACATACTCATGGAAAGAGGATGATGGTCTTCTGGAGGCAGCAAAATTTGACACAAGAAGAAGTTATGGAGTATTGTAAAGGTACAGACAGTGATTATACATTCCATTTTAATAAAGGGATGGGGGATATGGACAAAACATGCTAACATGTTCCATTCTGTGCTTTAAAAATCAAAATTTACAATGATATCATTAAATGATGAAAATAAAGTAAGGGAAGTAACATGGGCCTCAGTGAGGTGAGAGCATCTTTTATGATTGTGATTATCATGACAGTTTAATATGCAAGAACTTTCCCTATAACTTCACCTGTATTTTACAGAAAAAAAATTATAAAGGTACTGTCTCTTATGGTCTGCAAAAATTATCTTTAAAATACAAAACACCACCTTTAAGAAAACTAACATGAAGAATCCACTTCATCCTTCTCATCAGGCACTGAATCATAAGGTTTTGTGAAAATACTTACATTTAGAGGGAATTTTCAGTGTAACTATGTCAGCAGCACTCACAAGTTATTCCAATTGTTGCCTAATTTTATCACGGCATTAAAAAAAAAATTAGTAATGAAAAATGGAGTCCAGCATCAGAGTGAGTAGTCTTCACTTACCCTTGCATAGTGGAATTCCACACCATAGAGTTCTAAGGTACGTGCTGTGTTCAGATAATTAAACTCTGCTTCTGCAGGAGATAAGCCTCTATAAAAACATCATTAGGTTAAAAGTCAATCACAAACATGGTTAAAGTAGGAAAAGGCTACTTATCTGGAACATTTTTAAGCATTCTAATTAAGTCACAAAACACCATGCGTGACTGCTCTTCTTAATTCTGTACGGTAACGTCTAACTTATTGGAAAGATGCATTTTCAGTAACCCAAATCATCCAGAAATATAAGAATACAGCGAGTTTTAAAAGTCCCTAGCTGTTCTTATGGCCAATTACAAAGTCACTCACTCTTGGATATACCTTAAAAGTGTGTCTCTCAAACTTTGGTCCTTAAACCATCTGCACTGAAATTACTCAGGGTGCTTCTCAAACACGCAGATTCTGAGCTAACCTCCAGAGGGGTGCCTCTCAAAGCAAGGCGCACAAACAGATTCTGAGTCACCACAAATACAGAAATTGAGTATCAGATACTTCTACAGCCATTTGGCAGAATAATCTTACGTCTGTTGAATCTAACAGTAAAAAAAAGGACCTGTAATTTTTTATGTCTTTGCTTTTTTCTCCATTTTATTTTTCTAGTAATTCATTTTTATTGTATATTTCAAAACTACTATATCACTCCTGACAGACTGGAGGAAAAAAACTGGTCTTTTCATCACAGACAGCTTGAAAAGTGCTGTTCTATGGAGAATGATACAGAAGGTTTGGGATAAGATATAAATTGTTCACATTTAACAAGTATTCTGGGTGACTCTTATGAACGCAAGTTTGAGAACCACTGCTCTAAATGTAAAAGCCTTTGGAAACAGACAGATTTATTCCTGTTTCATATATAATTCTCACAGTCCTGGTTATCTGACCTTATCCGACCACAGGAGAGCAAACCAGCAAATTACAGAAGTAAAGACATCAATCTTCCTTCCACTCACTAAAGACCCTAGAAGAGGAAGCCTACAGCCCGACAATGCGGGCTCATAACACATTTCACTCAGTTTTCCATAAAATTCAGTTAAATAAATACTTCCCCCAAAGTTAAACTGGATGACTCTATTTTTAATTTGTTCAAAGATTTGATGAATCATGTCTTTAAACCAAACAGAAATAGATAATCAGTATCTTGTTAAAAGAACTCTTACAGGAGAAACTTTTCGTTACTGGTAAATTTTAAAAATCTGGTTTATCTTCAAACTCATTTCAGATATGCTATTTGTAGAATTTTTATTATAAATGGGATTTACTTTTAGGCCAAAATAGCCCCTCCTTTTATTAGGCCAATCTATTAAAATTCCCATTGATTAGTCTGATTTTAGATCAGGGCTCAGTAAACTTTTTCTGTAAAAGGCTGGAGAGTGAGTATCTTAGGCTTTCAGGCCATATGTTCCCTGTCGCAACTACTATCCAAGTCTGCTAGTGTAGTGTGAACGCAGCCACCGACAACGTGGAGATGCATGAGGGTGTCTGTGGTCCAGTGGGAGATTGTTTACGGACGCTGAAATTGGAATTTCATAAAATTTTCACATGCCATGAAATATGATTCTTATTTTCAACCACGTAAAATGTACAAACCATTCTTAGCTCACAGACTATACAAAAACAGGTGGTGGGCCACAGTTTGCCAACCTGTTTTAGATACATGGGCTATTACCAAATGAAAGTAAGCTTTCTTTATAATAAGAGCTAATATTTCTTCAGTGTTCACCATGTGCCAGGAACTGTTCTGGGCACTCTGTGTATATACACTCATTTAATCCTTACAATAACTCCAGAGGCAGATACTCTTATTACCCTCAATTTACAGATAAGAAAAGAGAAGCAGAGACAGAGCAATTTGGCCAAGGTTACAAGACAGTAATTAACTTTACCAGGTGAAAGTCAACCCCGGCAGTCTGGCCCTTGAGTACAGACGCTGAGCCAATATTCAACACTGCCTTAGTTCCTCCTGAGTACTTTGAACTGTATGTTACAAACTCAACTCTCAATCAATAAACAATATTACTTTCTATTCAAAGCAATACACCTTTTCTGGAAAAAATTTTGTCACACAAAATTAATCTCACTAAAAATGAAAGTTGAATATAATTATTATTGAAAAAATGCTACTGTTTTTAAAGGAATATTTTAATATTAATTTATTATTATATAAAGTTCCTTTTCTCCTCTTGGCTGTTTACCAAACAGGATCAACCCCTTTCATATAGCTAAAAAGAGAGAAAGATCGCTAGGTAGATTGAGCTGTATATTGTGAATATACTATTAATATTCTACAATTACTTCTTAAGAACTGAGAACTTTATATAATAGCAAATGAATTTCTGCATACATACAGCTGTATGGTTCTTAACAGAAATGAAAAGAAGCCTCATATATTATGTGAAATAAGCAGTAATATTTATTTTTAGTATAGATCACCTCTATTTCTTTGTATCAATCATAGTATTTTATATAATAGTAACTGTTCTATATTAAGTACATAAAACAATCAAATTAGAAACAATTTAAAACATTTCTCTAGAAAGGATGCCATTAAGTTTACCAAATAAACAGAAAAGTAAATAAATTCTTACGTATGTTGCTGATGGAATTTTGCAATTTCTTTTTCAAAATCTTGAGGTTGATTAGGAATGAAAGAATAATCTGAGAGGTAGCCTGGCAAATTCTCTGACTGATTGTAATCGCCAAGTTCAGCTAATAAGTGGAAGAAAAATATTCACAGTTTCAATAAACACATTTTTCAGTTATTAGGGCTAAATCAGCAACATCATCAATTCTATCTATTTCTAGCAGTAAAATATGTGTTTCTGATGTTGTTACCACTTGAGCAAGTTAAAACAATTCATTTAACATTCAAAATAGTTCAGGAAACAAAATCGTTACTAATTAGTTGGGCATTTCCTTACAGTTCCTCTGCAGTCACTACTTTCTGTACAGAACAAATGTCGCTGGGCGCTGCACTTCTAGCCAGAAGATTGGCAGTTTGAACCCACCCAGAGGTGCCTCGGAAGACAGGTCAGGCGATCTGCTGAGAAGTCAGAAAACCCTATAGAGCAGTTCTACTCTGCAACATGCGGTCGGTCGCCACGAGTCGCGATCGACTCAACCGCAACTAACGCCAACAGCATATGTCTAAAGGGCCCACGTATTAAAGGTAATGTACTTTTAAGGCAATGCACAGACCCCACAAGCATACTGTATTTGACCTAAAAGTGAGCTAATACTTACACTGAACAGCAAATGAAGCCAAAAGGGCAGCAGTATTACAAGGACAGGGCAATCTAATAAAACCAAGCAGAGAACACATAAACCAAGGTAAAATACAATCATTTCTAAAGCACTATAATTTATATTAGTCGCACCTGAAGTTTCTATGTGACTTACATTTTAACTATTAAGTCATGAACTTCTCCGATTGAAAAAAAATCTATGCTACATGTAATCATTTTTTGATACACAATTTGGTTGCAATGAACATGAATTACTTAATTCAGAAATAAAAGTATTTTAAAATTTATTACTGAAAATTAAAAATCACCTACCTTCCAGTAAGAATGTCTTGTTTAATTTGCAAAAAGTACTGGTACCTTAAAGAGAAAGATAGTTAGCATTTACTGAAATTACAGCATTTTCAGTTTTTAAAAACTATATACTTACACCAAAACCAAAACTGAAACATTTCAATATTCAATTTTAAAGACTGAAAATATACTTTTAAAGTAAGTTTTCATAGATTCATAAATCCAAATTTTAAAAATTCTTTGATATATGAAATTTTGTACTTCAATTGTCTGGTTTCCACTAGCTTCCCATTATAAAAGTCAAGATTTTTAAGAGTTAAACGAGCGGAGGAGAAGATCAGGGAGAAACATTCTGATGATTGTTGTCTGCCGAGAGTAGAACTGGAGGCATGGAAAACTTGAGTCATTATGTAGAAAAACCAATGGGAGCAGTGCACTAGAGATCAACGGAAGAACCTCATCTTTTCTGCTAAGATAAGAAGCCAACTGCAACCACAGGCCTGTGCATTATCATCTAACTAGACATAAAAGGTTCCTTTCTCTACTATTGCTCTGCCATTATCAGAATTACCAAGTGCCCAATTTCCTTAAAAACCAATAAAAGTATCAGTATTCCATAACAAGACTCCAGAGGCTGCTTACGACATGGGATTGCCCTTCAGTCCCTGCTAGGCAAAATCACCCGTGCTAGATAACACTGGCAGAAGACCAAATTTGGTGACTTTACATCTTTTGACAGGAAATTTTAAGACTTTTATTTACCCCACTTAAAAAAAAAATGTACACATTCCAAAAGTCAAAAATCATTCAAAATTCTGGTTACTGTCCCTGAATTATGCATATAAAAACTGTTGAATTGGCAAATATTTTGTTATACAGGGTACGTGTGTGTGTGTGTGTGTGTCTGTCTGTCTGTCTGTCTGTCTGTCTGTATCTCCACTCCTCACTTATAGACATGGTTAGGTTCCAAAGACCAGGTCGTTACACGAGAATTGGTGTTATGTGAAAACAGGGAATGACTACGTCATTTACATAACTGTGAAATCACATCATTACATAACTACCAAATTATATCACTACATAATCACCAAAGTACATCATTACATAACCGCCAACCCACTGAGAATCCTGGCCCAGCCAAGCTGACACCCAACCTTAACCACCCCAGCCAGTGTTACTCTCGCCTCACACCTTGGTTTTTGTTACTGCCACATGCATGTCGTTAATGTGCAAAACAGCTAGATAGATTTTTTACTATTGTCAGTGCGAAATGTTGGATAACGAGACAGTCGATAAGTGAGGAGTAGATGTATATGTATATACATTGTATTTTTATGCAAATAATGCATGCCTTCTATGTTTGCTTGCCAAACATGCCCTCCCCCTGCAAGGTATTTTCATAGGCACCACTATACCAATTCAGAAATTCAAAGACAGTTTTCTGAGTGAAGTCAACTATGAACATGGTTATAACTGACAATATTTTAATTACTGACACTAATAAACTCTTCATAAATGTTAAACGCATTAGAAATCCAATTTTAAAGTATTAATCTTTTAATTACAAATATTTTCTTACATATTTAAAACTGATTACATAAAACATATCACGGAATATTCTGTTACTTGATTTCAAGTTATCATATGCACCAGGAAATAATAAAGTGCATTTAGAAATACTTAATAACTCACAAGTTTCATTAATTCAGGAATTTCCCTTGGAGTTTCACCCAAAATTAAGGAAAGTTTTACTATATTGTGAATTATTTCTTAAGATAAAGGATCTTGTTTTTAATTATTCAACACCGAATACTGACTGGTTAAAGAATACAGTATTAAGCAAAATGATATTCATACAACACAAGTTTGCTTTTCAAGATAATTTAGCTTGAATCGTACTATTAGTTTCAAATACTAGGACTGCCTAATCCAGGACCCATACTCCCAGCGTCTCCTGTTATAAGAAAGTAACATCTTGACCCCAATAAACGCACAGAAAAGGACTCTCAACAGTGTCAATACAACTTCCCTTAGTTGGTCTACTATTGAAAACTCTACAAATACCTGAGGATGGGCAGCTGTAGCTCATTATGTAACTATCTTGATCGTTTTGTTATGCGCTTCCACCATAGCATTCTAAACGTAACTAATACATTAAAAGCTAATGTCCTGTCTACAGGTAGCTTTAGGTATGGATTTTTACATTAGCACCTATTTTTTAAGAGTAATTCTTAACATAGCCACTAATTTTGATATCTGAGACTTTTACAGAAGGTAAAAGATGCTTGCTGAAACCCTAACAGCTAATTCTGTCTCTTAAACAATGCACAGGGTTACCTTTCAGGCTATTTTAACAAAGCCAATTAGCACATTGTCATCTTTGCCCCCTATTTCTACCTGAAACATTTCATCTAACATTCATATACTATCAACATGCACATATGGATCATTCTTGTGAATACTTTGTCAAGGATAATTAACAACGTAATTAGACAGTAACATAAACTCAGGCTTAGGAATAAAAAAAGTGAAAAGGGCAGGTTAAGGCCTGAACATACTAGCGCGTTACTGCCAACGGCCTTTATAAATTCTACATTTTATTTAGAATCAAAGATTAAAACCACATAGGGAAAAAAAAGACAGGTACTGATCATGACTCCTACACAGAGGTTATTATATATTTTATAGAATTCTGTGTTCTCCTCAAAGAAAATAAAATACATGTAGAATACGCTTTTACATGAAGGAAAACCAAAACAGAACACCCAGGCAAAACTGTCACTATGAACATCCCTTGGATGGAACTACAGCAAAGTCTGCTTCCTCGATTACTTATAGCAGTGTTTCTGAACCATTTTTAACAAGTAGGAAAGTTTTATATCTGTATGGCTCAAGAGGCTGCATGTGGCTGGATGAGGCTACGCTGGGGTTCCAATCCCCTAAAGCTTTCCCAGCTACGGGGAGCGAAGGATGAGATCATCACCTTGGAACACCCATAAATTGTGTGTGCTGGTTGGGAAGCTCAGAATTACAGTTCCGTAATCTATTTTTGCCTAACTGGTTTCAAATTTTCATAGTAGAGTTTTGAAAATATTTTCAAGAAAAATACGCTCCATAAACCTACCTTGTATATTCCTCTTGTAATTTGTTGGGGTCACTTACAAAGAATTTGACTCTAAAGTTCAAACTGTAAGGAGATCCTCCTAGAATTAATAAAAGCAGTTCTAATTAATCAGATTATATTAATCCTTCATCTTTATAAAATATACTTGCAAAAACATGAAATAAGTATGCATGCTCACTCTTCAGCTGCTTCCTTATTGGTTTGTTTGGATCCAGCCACCTCTGAAAAATAAATAAGACTATGATTTCTCCTATTTTTGAGAAACTAATGTATCAATTCTTGTAATCTGTTCCATTTGTAGATTAACACTAAAAATTGCATTTAAAAAAAAAAAAGTCTAAGAAAAGAAAAATCATTAAATTACAGACAATATTGTTCACACCAAATATACCAAAATCATGCTAGAAATGATTGAATGCGTTTGCGGTAGCTTTAAGATTTTGATTTGAATTCCCCACCAAATTGTATAGTGTGCAGCAATGTATTCCAAAAGCAAAGATGCTTACTAACCGCAGCAGTCTAAAGTGGCTTCCATTAATTTAACTATGGTTTACAACCGTTTGGAAAGTTTTTAAAATTCTCTTTCCTTTTCTAAGAATATAGCAGGCTTTATATTCTCATTTAGACAAAATTTATAAAATCTACTCTTAAGAGAAATGCTATAATTTTTACACTATTCCCTAAGAAATAAATAAAATTAAGTACACCTCCACCCAAAAAAATCCCATGTCAATTTTGTAAGGGATAACATGTAGTTTTGGAAAGGGCTGCTTTTTCTGTGTGAGAATTTTAAGTGGCCTCAAGACCTCTGAACGTAAGTTACGCAGAAAATATTTCACTTGCCAACGTTTCAGTTAAAAAATTAAAGGACTCAAATAAGGTGATAGATGTGGCAGTACTTTCAAAGCACTACACAAATAAACATTACTTACCGTTACTCGCGAATCTAGCTTCCTAGAGCTCCCACTGATTCCATGCAGAGCACGTGAAAATCAACTGGGAATAATCCATGACTCTTCCCTCTCCATTATCTACCACATCCAATACATCGAATCCAGCTGATTCTACCTTCAAACTATACCTACAATTTACCAATTCCTCTCCATCTGCTCTGCCACCATCCTTGTCTCTGGGCTAGACTGTCACCAGAGCCTCTTAACTGCTCTCCCTGCTTCTTCTCTTACCCTTTTCCCCTTCACTCTGCAGGCAGAAGCATTAACCTGATAATGTCACTTCTTCCGTGCGAGATCCAAAGTCCTTACCGTGGTTTGCACGGTCTCTGCTGACTTCTTCCACCTCAGCTGAGCTCCAGCCATAAGGGCCTCTCTGTTTCTCACAGATGTCATCTTTCTGGCCCTCAATTCCAAACTTCCCTCTGCACAAAATGTCCTTCTCCACCTTTCCTATGGCTGGCTGCTTTTCACTACCCTGGAAGTCTCAGCATGAACGCTACCTCCTCAGGAAGGCCTTCATTGACCTCCCTATCAGAAATACGTCATGCAGCCACTACTTAACCAGTTATTTTCTCTAAACAAACCGAAACATTAAATTCCTTCATAACGTTTTCTCAGTTGTAACGGTACATTTGTCTTACCTGTTTATTGCCCATCTCCTTCATTACATTAGGAACTTCATGAGGTCAGGGATGAACTGTTTCATTCAGACCTAGACAGTCGGCACCAAGCACAGGGCTTCATTTGCTGAAGGACTGTCTAAACTTGCCGAATGACTCAAAAGTTGGAGGGAAAAAGCTCTGTTTCTTTGCCAGCGATGAGCTGGGTTTCACCCCTATTTAGTACACTGGTTTCCCCTATCTATCCATGTATTTATCCATCTTCCTGCCCATCATTTACTAACCTAGTGGGGTTTTTTCTTCACATTTCCTAGGAACACTCATAAATTACATTCACTTCAATGCTTGTCTAAACTCAAAATCTGGGATCAGTTAATCTATTATCCTTGGTGGCGCAGTGGTTAACCGCTTGGCTGCCAACTGAAAGTTTCCTGGTTTGAACCCACCAGCTGCTCTGTGGGAGAACCCTGAGGTGGTCCGCTTCCACAAAGATTTACAGCCTTGGAAACCTTATGAGGCAGCTCTACTCTGTCCTCGATGGTTGCTATGAGTTGGAGTTGACTTGACGGCAACAGGTTTGATTTTTGAGGGGTTTTAATGTACCCAAAGCCTGCCTTCCTCATTCAATCCCTTTCAAGATTCTGAGATCAAAATTACAAACACAATGAGTACAGCGGTAAGCACTGGGAAATTTAACGGCCCTCATCAAAGATGGAAACCCTGGTGGCATAGTGGTTAAGAGCTTCGGCAGCTAACCAAAAGGTCAGCAGTTCCAATCCACCAGGCGTTCCTTGGAAACCCTATGGGGGCAGTTCTACTCTGTCCTATAGGGTCGCTATACGTCAGGATCGACTAGATGGTAACAGGTTTGGTTTTTCATCGAAGATGTCAATGAGATAGGATGTTCTCTAATATCAGGTTCTTGGCTTAAACCATGAAGACAGAGTAATGTTGTAACAAGTACTGCTGGGCAGTAAAGATGGCATTTGTGGTAGAATTCATTACTGACCCAAAAGACAAAGAACTGGGAAAAAAGATAGTACATAAAGACGCTCTACAAATCAATATAAAAAAGACCAATCTTAACAAAAAAACAAGCAATGGATAAGAACAGAAGTTAACAGGATAGAAACATAAATGGCATTTAAGTATTTGAGAAGACATTCAATCTTGATCGTAATTAGAGAAATACAAAAGTAACCTACAGTAGCTTACTATTTTTCAACAGTCACATGGGCAAGGATTAAAACTTCTGATTACTCACTACACTGGCAAGCGCGTAAGAAAAACAGGCGCTCGCATGCATAGCTGGTGAGAGTATGAATTGGTACAGTCTCCGTGGAGGACAACTAGGCAACATTTATCAAAACATACAATGCATGTGCCCACAGACCCAGCATGACATTTTTATACCGCATGATTTTATTGAGGTATCTTTCATATAACATAAAATTCACAATTTTAAAGCGTACACTTCAGTGTACTTTAATTATTCATTATGTTTAATATATTCACTACATCACCACAATCTAATTCCAGGACATTTCCATCACCCCAAAAGAAAACCCTGTACTGGAGGCCCAGTAGTTAAGTGATAACGGCTACTAAACAAAAGGTCAGCAGTTTAAATCCACTAGCTGCTCCTTGGAAATCCTATGGGGCAGTTCTACCCTGTGCTCTAGGGTCGCTATGGATTGGAATCGACTTGGTGGCAATGGGTTTGGGTTTTTGGGTTTATTAGCAGCTAGTCCCAATTTTCCCAGGGCAACCACTAATCTACTTTCTGTCTATGGATTTGCCTTCTCTGGACATTTCAAATGAATGAAATCATGTAATATGTAGCCTTTGATGTCTGCTACTTTGACTTAGCATAATGTTTTCATCCACGTTGTAGCATTTATCAATATACTTTCCTTTTTCACGGTTGAATAATGTTCCATTGTATAAATATATCACATTTTGTTTATCCATCAGCATTAATTTTTTGTATGTTTTAGTCCTTCTGATTGAAGATGGTAAACGCTAACTGGAAAAAAAATTTTTTTTTTAAATTAACAAAGCTAAATATAAAAGCACCATTCAAGAAATTAAACTTTCAAATAATGCTTTTTGTCAGTTTGCACCATTTATACTTCTGAAGTTATTAATGCATAAATGATTCATAAAAGCCCCCCATGCGTCTGTCAATTTGTTAGTACTGTGGGGGCTTACGAGCTGTTCTGATGCTGGAAGCTATGCCACGGTATTCAAATACCAGCAGGGTCACCCATGGCAGACAGGGTCCAGATGAGCTTCCAGACTAAGACAGAGTAGGAAGAAGGACCCGGGAGTCTACTTCTGAAAAGAATTAGCCAGTGAAGACCTTATGAATAGCAGCGGAACACTGTCTGATATAATGCCGGAAGATGAGCCTCCAGATTGAAAGGCACTCAAAAGACAACTGGGGAAGCACCACCTCCTCAAAGTAGAGTCGACCTTAATGACGTGGATGGAGTCAAGCTTTCGGGATCTTCATTTGCTGATGTGGCATGACTCAAAATGAGAAGAAACAGCTATAAACAACCACTAATAATTGGAACGTGGAATGTACAAAGTATGAATCTAGGAAAATTGGAAATCGTCAAAAATGAAATGGAACGCATAAACATCAATACCCTAGGCATCAGTGAGCTGAAATGGACTGGTACTGGCCATTTTGAATCGGACAACCATATGGTCTACTATGCTGGGAATGACAACTTGAAGAGGAATGGCATTGTATTCATCGTCAAAAAGAACATGTCAGGATCTATCCTGAAGTATAATGCTGTCAATGATAGGATAATATCCATATGCCTACAAGGAAGACCAGTTAATACGACTATTATTCAAATTTACATACCAACCACTAAGGCCAAAGATGAAGAAACTGAAGATTTTTACCAACTTTTTCAGTCTGAAATTGATCAAACATGCAATCAGGATGCATTGATAATTACTGGTGATTGGAATGAGAAAGTTGGAAAAGAAGAAGGATCGGTAGTTGGAAAATATGGCCTTCGTGATAGAAATGATGCTGGAGATCGCATGATAGAAATTTGCAAGACCAATGACTTCTTCATTGCAAATACCTTTTTTCACCAACGTAAACGGTGACTACACACGTGGACCTCGCCAGATGGAACACACAAGAATCAAATCGACTACATCTGTGGAAAGAGACGATGGAGAAGCTCAATATCATCAGTCAGAACAAGGCCAGGGGCCGACTGTGGAAGAGACCATCAATTGCTCATATGCAAGTTCAGGTTGAAACTGAAGAAAATTAGAACAAGTCCACGAGAGCCAAACTACGATCTTGAGTATATCCCACCTGAATTTAGGGACCATCTAAAGGATAGATCGGACATGTTGAACATTAATGACCGAAGACCAGATGAGTTGTGGAA